AAATAGTTTCTTACTTGTTGGAATACAATATCCATATTGAATTTATTAGGATTCGCTTCGACGATTTCAGTGATGAGAGGATCAATAGTAGTTTCCAGCATATTCAAATACAGTTTCGCTGTTAAATTTTGATCAATAAATAGAGGTCCTACAATGAATGCAACAGCTATCTGAAATGGTTTCATTTTCATAGATATAGTGAGATGTTGAAAAACTCAGGAATAGTGTTGGTAAGCAAAGCTCTAATGACATTCATAAATGAGAAAATAATGCCAGCTGCAGAAGATAAGATTTCAGAGAATTTTGAAACCTTTGCACAAGAACCCAAATTAACAAATAACAACGGAACTCAAGATGATCACTTATCTCAGTCTGAGTTTATTCCTCATGAATCAAGAACAGAAAATATAGATAAGTCACTTTTTACAGAGATGAATGAAACAATAAATCATTCTGATTTTTTAGAACTGAAATGGACGTAGAATCTATAAAAGTATTGAAAATATTACATATTAATGTACAATCCATGGCATCAAAAATACATCAAATTGAAAGTTTATTAATTCAGACAAATATTGACTTCCTGTGCTTAAGTGAACACTGGATGAATGATTTGAACATTAACATGGCAGTTATTCCTAATTATACGTTGATGACATCTTTTTGTAGAAAGTCAAGAATTCATGGAGGAACGGCTATCTACATGAAAAATAATACAGGAATAAATTATAGGCCAATGACAAACAAATTTTCTGAGGAGATGGAACTTGAGTACTGTATGCTAGAAATAACTGCGAATGTAAAAATATGCTTGATTTGCATATACAGACCCCCAAATGGCTGTGTTAAGAACTTTATTGACAAATTGTCTCTCATTATCAATGAAGTATTATCTACTCATAAAATCATAATTTGTGGTGATTTAAACATTGATTTTGTAGACAAGAAAAACGACAACTTTAAATTATTAAAGGATCTGATGGATTCATATGAATGCCACAATTTAGTTTCGACACCTACAAGAATTTGCACTAATAAAAACAATCAAACTTCAATTAGTGGAATTGACTACATTATAACTAACTTGGATCTTAATAAATGTACTCAAACAACATTCAATCCCCACCTCTCAGATCATTTAGCAACTTCTATGCATTATAACTACAGCACTCCTGAACCTGAAATAGATATTATCCCTACTGGCTTCCACAGAAACATATCATTTAAGAATATCCGTCAGTTGAAAACAATGTTAGATACAAAGGAATGGGATATATCCTACGATAAATCATTATCAGTCAATTTCCAGAATTTCTGTGATCAATTCAAAATGCTTTACGATGAATCATGTCAACCGATACCCAATTCGAAGACCTCACGAAAAAAAAATAAAACAAATTGGTTTAATCTGGAGTTAAAACTGGCAAGGGATGATCTAGACAATGCCTACGTTATGAGTAANGAAAAATCGCCAACTTATGCTGGGGTAAAAATATATAATAAACTCCCTAATCTAATGAAGGCCTGTAATACTATCGAATTAAAAAAATCACTGAAAGATTTCTTATTGGCTAAATCTTATTATACATTACAAGAGTATTTCGCTGATTGAGTTTTTGTGGATATCTGTGTGTAAATAATCTTATTCTTTTATGTTTTAATCTTACATTTTTACACTTGTACATCTATACGTTTTTACATTTTTATTTATACATATATGTATATATATCTGTATTTTATGGTCCTATGTTTATATGTATTGAATGTATATTTACATGTTTGTTTGTTTACATATTTATAAGTATAAGTTGACATGTTCGATACCATGTAGTTGGTCCATGAATGAATAAATTTCTTTCTTTCTTTCTTTCTTTCTTTCTTATGGTTTTCCAATATTTCTGCCCAAACGTACATTTTTTCTGGATTTTGGGTATGCGTTTCCCGGAAAACGTGAGGGTTGGTGTCACTCCAATAACGGCAATTTTGTCTGTGAACATTGCCGTTTGAAAAGGGTTTTACAAAAACCGCGACACATGTTTCGCTATACAATAGCTTGAGAAATATTGTATAGCGAAACACGTAATCGTGTTCGCTATATCTGTTCTTTACTTTTGCGCAACCAAAACGATCATTTTTAGATCGTATCGTCGCGTTTCATGAAAAGTGGATTTTCTAAGACAACAAGAGATGTTCAGGACAGCAAAAATCCACCAAAATAAGGGCCATGATTACTGTATGGTGATCAGAAGCTGGTGTGATTCACATTCTGCAACTGGGCCAAATCGTCACTCAGAGTTGCCAACCGTAGCGGAATTCCGCTACGGTAGCGGTATTCACTCGACGATAGCGGCGTGACGGATTTGAACATAAAGTAGCGCAATTTTCTACAAATAATCAATAATGAAAAAATGTGGAAGAAGAAGAGGCAGTGGACAGCACTCGAAACTGACAGCTGACAATTGAATAATTGAATTTAAGTTCTGGTTCTGTGGTATTTAATTTAAATAGAGCGCATGTGCAAACTGATTGTATAAGCACAGATTTAGTACAATCTGTGGTATAAGATATACAAGCGTAACGGAATATGAAGTAGTGTAGCGGAATTTTGGTTTATATGAAGCGACTTTATAGTTCATCCAGTTGGCAACACTACACAGCAGTGTGAGGGAATCGACGAAATGTACCGAAAATGCGTCAGCAGCAGCCGGCACTAGTTACCAGGAGGATATGTAGTTTAAGAATAATAATATTCAAGAATATCTCGAAGAAGTGTTTATTGACTAGTTGAGTTTATGTCAGTACTTTGAAATATTGTATAATAAAAGTTTCGTATATTTTTTTTCTTCATCCATTCAATAAAATAGTATAACTATTATTCCACTCAAATGATATGCAATAGATGCTTTACTATGTTCTGGTGTTTGACCGTCCATATTCTAAAAAGTAAACCAAGCTTTATCAACAGAGAATTCACTAAAGTGATAAAAAGCAAATTAAAAAGTTAACCTCCTAAAGTTACTGCGTAATATAAACCACTGAAGAGTCCAATTAGTCGGTAACTTGTCATATTGATAAATTCTGCCTACACACTGAATGATTAATGGGAAAAAATGAAATTTTCATGCTTTTTTTAGATGAAAATTAAATTTTCATACCTAGTTTTTTCAGATGGTTGACGTTTCGGAAAATTATCTTTTTGCGTTTTTGAAACCCAGAAAAATTCACGTGTGAACAACGCTTCAATTGGAAACAGCTTTATTTCTTTTGATAAACTACAAAAGACTGAAATGTCCAGTCCAGGGCATCTGGCCCTGATGAAGTGCCCGTCGTCGAATCTAAAAAGTGCGAAAATATTTTGCAGACTTTTCAACCTGTCTTACAAGAGAGGAATTTTTTCTCCTTGTTGGAAGATTGCTCGCGTTCAGTCTATTCCCAAAAAGGGCAATAAAAATATTCCAAATAACTACAGACCAATCGCTTTGCTATCACTGATATCAAAAATCACGGAGAAAGTCGTAAACCACCATATCCTCAAATATTTGGGAGGCTTCAACATCCTGAGTGATTATCAATACAGCTTTCGGAAACAAAGATCAACAGGCGACCTTCTATCGTATGTCACCCATATTTGGAATAACGAAATCGAGAGACATGGAGAATCAGCTGCTGCGCCTGATATTTCTAAGACATTTGTTCGTGTGTGGCATGAGGGTTTGCTGGCCAAACTTCCATGCTATGGCTTGTCGGATCATTTCTGTGTATGGCTCTCCAGCTTCTTGAAAGAACGTTTCCTGCAAGTGGCCGTCGATGGATATCTCTGGAATACTTTTACCATCAACGCTGGTGTTCCACAGGGATCCATATTGTCTCCAACCCTCTTTTTATCGTATATCAACGACCTTTTGGAAAAAAACCAAGAATCCAATATATTGCTTTGCTGACGACAGCACACTTGTCTCGTCATTCCATTTGGATTCCAGGACATCGGCTAAGGAGGCACATCTTCACCGGTAGCAGGAGGATCTAGAAGTGATTTCGAATTGGGGTGAAAGTAACCAGGTTCAATTTAATGCCACAAAAACACAGGCATCGGTTTTCTCCATGAAGATAAATAACTCCGAATGTCAGGTCAGACAATTCCGCTTTCTGCTTCGATAAGTTTGTTGGGGGTTAAAATGGACACCAATATGTCTTGGCACAATCATAATAATAATAATAATGATAAATTGTTTATTGTTTGCCGCTGTATTGCTTTGGAGTATTGTTCTCATGCATGGAGCTCTGCCCCCAAACATACCCTCAAGTTGCTGGATTCCATCCAGAAAACAGCCATCCGCCTGATTGGAGACGCGCACATCACGTGCAACCTTGATAGACTGGGACATCGAAGAAAGGTTGGAGATTTGTCTCTCTTCTATAAATACTTTCACAGGAGGTCTTCAAGTGACTTGGCACATTTGATTCCACCAAGAGCGGTACATATCAGAAATACGCGACGGATTGTGGCTGCTCATCGTTCTGAGGTTCAACAAAGTACACCTTGAACTTTTCAAGAACTCTTCCATCTGGAGAACTGCGTTTATCTGAAATCAACTTTCTGTGAACGTTTTTCCAAATAGATTTAATCTCCAACGATGCAAATCCAATGTGAATCGCTACTTTCGCACAGGCACCGCTCTGAGAGCGCCAAAAGGTTTTTTCTGTAGTGCTTGTATTCTGTATTACACTTCCGTAGATCATCTATTGATTCAGCTTTGTTCATGTGTCAACAAAGTTGACTCCTCCACAAAAATTATATGTCAAAGAAGATATATAACATTATATGACATAAAACTGTTGATTTATGAATATTTCCAGTCCTCTAAAATAATTGTGTAATTTTGATATACGCTGCATAATTATTCATTTTGTCGGCTAGAGGACTGACACTGTATATGATAGGATCAGGTCTTTAATGTTATCCAGTTCGATCAGAATTCAAACAGATTGAAACTGAAATAGATCAACGGCGAAAACTTTATTACAACATTGTTAGTAACATAAAACGTAAAAAGAGTAAAAACAATATCAATATATAAAATCAATCACAGATTGGATAAAACATTTGAAATTTCAGCAACTGTTGGCCGGTTGTATGGGTTGCTTTTCCAACAGTTCTGGTACAGATTAGAAAGTGCATCAGTCGGATTTTGCATATCTGGCCTCAAATGGCATTTAACCACCTAGAATCAAATATAATTTAAGTAATGTTGCAGACATTTGGAAGGCTCTTAAGAAACACGAGGTCAAAAATCCACAAACTCCAAACATGAATGTTAAAATTTAATGAGAAGTTGATATTTTCCATAACGAGGTACATAATAAGTGTAACTACAAAGATATAATGTGTTAACAGTATGTGTCATGAAAATTCGAGGAAGATATTCTAAATGAATACCAAATAAATTCTGTAAACTCATTTGTAATCGTGCCTGACGCTTTAAATTTTTTTATTCATCGGTTTGTGGGTTAAAAAGGTTGCGATTTAAGATCGAAAAACTAAAAAAAAAGACCTAAAAATTATTTAACTTTACCAAAAAGTCAACAGAGTCAAGGATTACATATTTCGAATATATAAAAAGATAATGAATAAATAAATGGCGATATAAAAAAATACTTTTTTGAAAGACGTTTTCGTTACCAATTCTACATCATCATTTGATAATTCTGTGACAATACTTGAATGAACATCAGAATCGTTTTACTGATCAGGTATTCCGATATTAGTACGATTCGTTCAAATCAAATAAATTCATGAATGAAACAATCTTACCATGTATATGACAGTTTCAATATTGTCTAGATCACTGTAGGGATTCTTTCTGGCCAACATTTGCCAAAGAAGAATTCCTAAGGAGTAGACGTCACTTTTTTCAGTAGGCTTTATGCCTTGTAGGATTTCTGGAGCGGTATACACAGCGGTTCCCTGAAAACTCATGAAATGTATTTGAATATTAACGCTGTTGGAACACAAACTCACTTGATGTTCAAAAAAATCTACGAGTTCTGTAATTTTCGCAGAATTTCCAAAATCGCAAATTTTACACACATCCCCACAAAGAAGAACGTTTTGAGGTTTCAGATCCAAGTGTAAAATGCCATTTTCATGACAATGTTGAAGTGCCTCACAAATGTCTTTGGTATATTTTATAACGATTCTATTATCTAAACTGACTTCGGGATTATCGAGTATGCTTTGCATATCTTGACAATCTGCAAAATATTCCATGAGAATCATTGAAAACACACTTTCCTCATTTCCTATGATGTGTAATGTTTTTACAATATTCGGGTGGTTCAAATGTAGCGCATTGTGGTCTCTGGAAGAGAATTTTGACGTTTTTACTAACTTCATCGCCACAGTTGTGCCTGAAACGACGTAAAGTACATAAACTCCACAACAAATGGTAATCTTTTCATGAAAAAGTTAAACATACCCTTATAGACAGCTCTAATAACCTTGCCAAAGCTACCTTTCCCAAGAATATTCAAAAATCTATCATCCGCAACTCCATTTTCTATGATATTCTTCTTCATTGGCGAATTCATGAAGATATCATGTTTGATAATTTCTTTTAACTTATCGCTGTGATTGGTTACATGAATATCTACTGGTTCGAATGCTAGTTTGACTCTTGGAGCGACATCTGAATATTCGAAGTTTTTTGCAGGCGATTTTCTGAAATTAAATAAAGTAATTGATATAATAATTTCATAATTCATTTATAATTAATTTATCAATTTGAAGAAGTGGATGTATTCTTTATAACATTTCACATAATGATCCATAATCTATCATAAAGCTATTTGAATTACTCAATTACTCATTCACAAGTGAATAAATATAAATCAATCTTTCACTAAAGATCCGCCTAGGCACGGGTACAATTCAGGTATTTTTAATGGTCAATGTCAAAGCTTCATCATTACTGCAGACCCATCCCAGGGCATAACCTTGATTTACTTAGAAGTAACCTAGGAAAATAATATTTCAGTCGAAGTCAACTGTACAATGGACTGTTGCAGGTCGGAGCTCAAAATCATTCATTGTCTGATATGTGAAAAATCACAAGGAATCTCTAAGCCACTCGACTAGAAGTTCCAAGAATCATTTTCTTGCCATAAAATTAAACGCTATCAAATATTGTTTATAGGTTAGTTTCAAGATATTGAACTTCAGTGGCTTATGTTCCCATAAACTAGGTACCGAACAAAATTCTTTGAATATTAAAAAATCTATCCAGAAGTAACATAAGTTACTTGTATCCCGATACCACCACGGGATCGGGTATCTGTGGGTTATTTATGAAATTCGATAAAATACAAACCATAATAATAGTAATGTGGTTTTCAAATGGTGGAAGAATTCAAATTTGTTGTTTATCAATGTAAACATCAACTAGACTTGCTCTGAAATTCTCAAGTTTTAGTATTAACGACATCAAATGCTTTCTCAGAAAAGTTGATTGCACTAAATTAGTGCATTTATTGCTTTCATGCCACGAAAATTATTCATGTATTATAAATTATTTCCATAATATACTATTGAAATAATTGTTACGTTTCAGTTTTGGTAGTGATAGCGACTGCAGCAACTATAAAAATGTCTACATGTCTCGAATCATTGAATTGGTATGGATTATAATTATAGCATTATTATTATTGAACATGATAATTTAGAAGAGGTCGCAACAGAAACATGAAACAGCGTGAGTGGTTAAAGTTTGGATCGAAAGTTAAATACGTAAGACCCCGCTTTCCTTTACGCAGCACTAGCTATAAGAAAACTTCAGAAAGCCCTAATTGCTAGTTTCTATTTACTATCAAATTTTTATTTGATCAAGGATTTCAGTGGCAATACTTCTTTTAATTTGTAAGTTGTACCCATGAGTTAAAGAGAAATAAAATAAGTAAAAAAATACAAATACAGTTGCCCCTGTAATCATCCTTACAACTTCTCGCTTCTTCGAGATCAAAATTAAAGGAATTATTTGACGAAATCACTTGAATGGAATTTTTTTTTCAATTGAAAAATTCTTGATAATTAGAAGTATCCACTTCTTCGTTGTCCCAGGGCCTCCAGACTTCCAAATCCGGCTCTGGGTACAGTTACGTACCTGGCATCTTAAATTTGTTATAAATTATCTTTAATACCTTCTTTTCACCCAAATACAGAATTTCGCTATGCAGTCCAATAACATTTTCATGTTGTGTGTTTACTTCGCTTTTTCCATAAAATATTAAGTGGGAGTCCATCCAACATAATTCAAAACTATTATCGATCATATACACATTCACCCAGGTTTATGGTGAAAATGTATTCATTTTATTTTTCAAAGAAATATTTCATAAAAATTCAATAAATTGCCTTACCTTTGCTTATTCAAAGAAACACATTTATTCTGAATAACATTATCATTTAACTTTGGTACAAATAATAGCCTAGGTGACGATGGTGATAATGTTTTAGGGGATAAAACTGATTTCAGTAGCTTCAAAGGTGTACCCATTTTTATTTGCAATGTTATTTTATTCACATTCACTATCGTTACCACCAAAACCGATCATTCACGTCACAGCACTGAATAATGTAGTTTTAAAAACCACTGGTTTTTAGAACACTTTTTACTACTTTTTTTATTCCAGTTTATACAGTGTCGGGTCAACTTGTGCTCTGAAGAACCATCGGACATTAAATTCGAAAGACACTCCAGTTTATCGTATCATTTGACTATGGTGAAATATAAACTGGAATGGAAAGAATGGAAATGCTTGATCCATATTATTCATTTTCAAAAGTTCCGACCAGACCACATTTTCATTATCTAAAATGAATTTTCTAATTTTGTTACCATCATAAAAATGTTTGAATTGTCTCTTTACCTGAGGATGGTTTATTTTCAGTCGTAATCAAAGAAAAATTGATTTGTGATCAGGAGCAATATTGTCAACAATGCAAAGAATCCTTGATTTGTAGATAAATAACTGAATACATGATCAACAGTTGTATCAATTGATTGTATTGAAAATAATAATATTAATAATGTAACTGAATATGGTAGGTCCAAAGTGAGCGAGTCTGATCAACATCCCACTACAACCCGCGAGGACTGACCCACTCCTATTCACACTGGCTTAAATGAAACCAGCTTTTCAACGAAGCCGATTGCTTCATTTGGTGAGCGCTCTTTCAAGTCAGCTGTAAAATGCAGGACTGCGAAACTCTGAAAACCTGGTAGATGACGGAGATGGCACAAAATATGTAATCTACTGCCCGGTCTTAATTCCCTTATGGAGAATAATCTACTCCAAGGTTATTAGAATATGGTAAATTTTTCTTGATTTAGTGAAGACTTGATCGGCAGTCAGTCGGTGACTACCTTCAGGAAGGTAAGCAGTACAAATGTGTGACTTGGAAAGTATGTCTCCTGTGATGCATTTCATGGAGATAGTTGCAGGTTACTAACTCTGCACCCACCAGCCAGAAACGGCCGGAATGTGTAACTCTGGAATCATATAGCAAATTAAAGAGATCTCGCGATTGGTGGATATTGAGACTGTTGCATGTTCAAAGTGCCAGAATTCCAACTCAATGACCGCAGTAACCTTCACATAGAAGAGCATCTGTCAAAAGTCAGCTATACCTGATGATATCTCAGATTCAATCATGCCGAATTTTCATCACCTCTGATTTGGGCGAATCATAGTTTGAGTGTAAGCATTTGCTGACTGTTCAGGGCAAGATTGTTTATTCCTCTCGTCTCATGCAGATTTGCTTCTGTGGCTCGGTAATTTAGTGCAAGGTAAATTCTTAAAAGCGCAGGAGCTTGAGTAGACTCACTTCCTGGCTGTACTTCCTAGCCTCCTAGGTTTGTTAACAAGATCAAGATTTGGAGAACTGCGAAGCTCTAGCTCTTGATCCGATGTTACAGGGAGGACAGTCGAGTCTCCTCTAGCCTCAAGGTCGTATTCTTTAGTTAGTTCATGTCCCACAAGGGGTCTCACGAGTAGGTAGGGAAATTGTGTCCACCACGATCGAGTCCTGTATTACCACGACAAAGCTTTATATATCAAAAGGGCGCCAAGTATCTGGAAGGTGTTGTTATGACACTGAGTGGGCTCAGAATATTACAACAAAAGATGACCTTCGCCACTTTATAAAGTAAAAACAAACCGTCGATATCAAAGGGTTCGGGTTCAGAGAAACGAATAGTGATAATATCGAACATTTGACATTGAAGTTTCGACTGTTTTGTGCCCCAGTCAGTACCTAATCTGCGATACAGAACAGTAACATAATGCTTTTTCTGTGGTCAGAATTTCCAAAACGGTTTGTTTCGTGTAGTTTGTCTCTTCAATTAATTAGAAATTGATATTAACAATATGGCGACCTGGGGGGTGACAATTCCGATTGTTTATCCTTTTGTCGTCATACATCTGTTCAGCACGGAGACACACACCTCAGGATGAGGTATTATTTAGGATTCTTACCTCCAAGTGTGACGGAGCCCCCCCTTCACTGCGCTGTATCTGTTTAAATCTGTCTGTTTAAAATATGTTTTTCCGTTAATCAGCTGACGCCCCCATACGAATGACAACTCTCAGAAGTTGAGAAACTTGTGCGAGCTAAGGACTAACGAGGTCTTTTAACGTGTGATTCCTAACACGGTTGTAGAATCATCCCCAGCTTCAACCAGATGAATTCTCTCGAGAAAAATATCTGGTCGAGGCGGGAATCGAACTTATGGTCTTCCGATCGTGAGTCGGGCGCACTACCACCGCGGCCAATTCTCCACATACACAATACATTAAGCAAGTATATCAGAGCAAACTCGTAGACATCAGCAATAACAGTATATACCTTCTAGTAACATGCGGCACACATATTTTTCAGACAAAATAGTACTCCTTTATGTTAATGGTTGAAGAATATCGCCATCTATTGTGATTTTCGAACAAAAGTTTTTATTTAAAAAAAATATCAAAACATCATCTTTTCTTTCTCACTACATCAAGTTGTTTGACAATATTTCTATAGATGACTTTATAGTGCCCTCATATTGAATTTTGAAAGGAAATTATTACTTATTATATCGTTGAAAAAATAATTATTCTATCAAATGATTCGAAAAAATATACAAGGTTTCATTTGAAATTCCTGATTTGAGTTAATTTCCGGTTGAAACATAATGGGTTTTGGATTGGCATTTCAATAGAAATATCATCTCCGAACTATATATTCATTTCGAATTTCAAATGAATTCGTCTCAAATTTCTCAATAATGTATGAATAATTATTTTGTTGTCATCCAGTATAGAAACTCTACGTGGCTAAATGTCCCAAAGGACATTGGCCTGTATGGGCATTGGATGACTATAGCAGCCAGTGATTGAGTCTATAAAAAAGTTAATCTGACTTGTATTCGTTCATCTACTGTTTTGTATCAGCCGAATGAGTTTCAAATATATGAAAAAATAGATATAATGCATTCATATAAAAATATTTGTATTTTGAATCCGATCTAGAAGAGTGGAGTGCCCACTACTGACACACATTACAATTGAAAGAGCCCGTTTTGATTATAGCTAGTTATAATTAGTAGTCCACCAGATTCTAGTAATGGTCATGTTTGACACATACACCCATTTAGTAGGTTTATTATGTCGGATTTCCACCAAACGGACAAAACTACAACAAAACATAATTATTTGAGTTGCCAAAATGAGAAACATCTTAAAGAGCAACAGATTTAACCATAATTCAGAAGTGCCGGACATTTTTCATTAGGTTGAGGCTAAATTTTGAAAATGAATAAGTACTGGTGGTATTTTCCCTTTCTTCTTGTCTTATTATCTCATAGTAGATTACAAAAACTAAGCACAAATAACAATATACAATTAATTTAATTATTTAAACCTGATTTTACAAAATAAATTATTCGTCAAGCAGACACTGACATACACTAGCACCATACTTAGGTGGCAAGATTTTCTCCAATTCATTTTTGTCCAACCACCGAAAATCCAAGTTCTTTTGAAATATATGGCCGTTCAGGTACCTCGCAAAATATATGAAAACCTGTAAAAATACAACATGAAAACTGCACCGTGAAATCAGAAAAATCTGGTTACCTTGGCTCCAACTATATCTGTTTCTTTCCTAAGACTTGCTGGGTACTTATATTTATAAAAGCCACATGGAGCATTGCCGAAAATCTGTGCCTTCACTTCAGAACCCACAGTTTGTTTCAAAGTGCGTTCAGCAGTCTAGACAAAAATAGAAAAGATAGAATTATGCTACAGAGAAATATTTCTTATTTTTTATTTTATTCAAGCAAGGCCATTGTCAATTTCAAATTATTTCAAACACATTTCTTCTAGTTATCAAATGCTGTTGAGAGAATACATACAGTATTCAAATATTTTGAAGTTGCATTTAAAAAAATTCTACTAACTTGGTTTTATAGTGAAAATATGTTTTTCAATTAATATGTTGAGTAAATTTTTTTCTGTTTTACTGTTCAAATAGCAATGAGTTTGATGGTGGTCATTGAGGCTGTTCGATGCTCAAAGTGCAAGAATTCCAGTTCAATGACCGACAATGGCCTGTTGCAGGTCGGAGCTCAAAATCATTCATTGTCTGATATTTTTATTTTTCACAAGGAATCTCTAAGCCACTCGACTAGAAGTTCCATTCCATTAATTTATCTGTTTTATAAAAAAATATATTTTTTTTCTTAGAATGTCAAAATCAATTCACATATTGTATTTTTGTTAAAACACAAGTAAATCTTGTTTTTATATCATATAGATTATATGTAGTGTTGATTAGAAATGGTCATTTTATTTTTCGTATTCTTGCTGATCATTTCAGCAAAATGCTTCATTAGAAATCAATATCTAGGGGTGTATAAAAAATTATTCCCCATCTAGGTCTGTCAACCATATTGGTTTACAGTGAAGTAATGTTATTTTTCGTATTCTTTCCAGCAAATTCATTCAGTTGATACCAATACTATTACACTGTATATTGGATTCAGAGTGACGTTATTTTTCAAATTATTTCAAGCAAACCTTTACATCTGATATCAACCCTCATCGTGGGGGTCCATAAAAAAGCTAGTCCACCATGTTATGCGGTCCACCATCTTGGGCGGTTTACTATCTTGGGCAGTCCGCCATCTTGACTGATCTATCATATTGAATTTTGAGTGATGTCATGTTATTTTTGGTATTTTTTTCAACAAACCATTTTTGTGGGAAATCATAAAAAACTAGGAAGTCCACTTGGGTGGTCTGCCATATTGGATTTGAAGTGAAGTCATGATTTTTCGAATTCTTTTTAGCAAACCCTTTCAACTGATACCCATTATCATGGGAGTGCATAAAAAACTATTCCGCCATCTTGGGCGGTCCACCGTGTTTAGTATGGAATGCCATTACTTGGCTAGCCATGCATTGTCATCCACCATAAAAGTGTATGCGGTACATAATTCCATTCTATATTATTATTTAAGTACATCCCTTGAAGACGTTCGATCAAAATCAGTTTACAAAGCATTAAAAATAATAAATAGAAGAGATTGAAATATTGACTCAACTTTGATATATACTTCACTTTAAAAGTATATTTCATAGTTATTTTGTGAATTGATTTATGATAGTAGAATAATCATATTTGAAGTTATTGAACTAAATGTTAGCTGACATACTTAAAACATCTAAAACCACCTACCTGTCTTAAAGTTTCCCCATCCTGTCTCAAATCTTGTGGGAGCATATAAAAATACTTGTCACCAATCTTCTGGTTCAGAACAAATACTAAACTCTTATCCAATTTTCTAGAAAGGGATTTCAAATCATTTTTCTTATCAGCTTCTGGAAGTGAATGAAATCAACATAGATGACTGAAAATTGGAAATTGTATGGAATTTTTTTCATAACCTACAATTAATCAGAGGGAAATAAGAGAAATCATAAACACAAAAATAAGTGAAGACATACTAGTGACTTACCACTCTTTAGAAACAAATTTAAGATTTTCATACTTGAGGACTGGCTATAAATCAAATTATCTAAGAACAATTCGTTCAGGCCAGTCTCAACTCCCTACACAGTAGGTTAATGGACTGACACCTCTCAGAAAACAACTACTCCCCTGGCTAATACCACGAAGGGCGTTGGATTATATCCGACAGGTGTCAGTGCAGGATTCTTCACAGAAGTTATTCCTCCATATGCTGTTGGCGATACAACTGCCACAATAGATTTTCAATCATTGGAACACACTTGCAGACCGGTTTCGGGCTGTTTGGCCACTCATCAGTGCAAGGTAGTGTATATCATCAACATACAGTCGATGGTTTCCTATAATTGAAAATTGAATTCCGTCAGAGTATCATTCCTCGAACTAAGCTGAAGCCTACAACAAACAATAGGTTTGTCGTCGCCCCATCTGCCTGTGAACGAGGTAACCAACTGCATATCCGAAATTTGCTCAATTCCTCGTATAAGGAAAGAAAACTTTCACATATAGTCAGTGGGCAGTGCTTCAGCTTAGTTCGAGGAATGATAATCTGATGGAATTCGATTTTCAATTATCGGAAATCATCGACTTTATGTTGATGATATACACTACCTTGCACTGAAGAGTGGCCAAACAGCCCGAAACCGGTGTGCAAGTGTGTTCAAATAATTGAAAATCTATTGCGGCAGTTTTATCGCCAGCAGCATATACAGGAATAACTTCTGTGAAGAATCCTGCACTGACACCTGTCGGATATAATCCAACGCCCTTCGTGGTATTAGCCAGGGGAGTAGTTGTTTTCTGAGAGGTGTCAGTCCATTAACCTACTGTGTAGGGAGTTGAGACTGGCCTGAATGAATTGATCTTAGATAATTTGACAAATTTAAGATTTTGTCAAGGAATGAAGAACTAGGTATACAGAAGCAAAAACCAAGAAAGTGCTGGGACTAACCACTTCTTCACTAAAGTGCTCCAAAGAAACAGCTGGAATATCCTTATCTTCAAACCAAATATTCTATCACTTTAATCTTAATAAATAAGTTACATGAAGACATACATCAAGAATTTAGAAATATCGCTTTGAATGTTGTTAAATTGAAATTTACTAAGTTTGAGTTTAGAGGTTCGAAAAATACTACAGATTCTTGGGTATATTCTGTGAGTTTTCTTCAAAAGTAGGTAAGAATGAAATATTGTTCAGTCTGGGTATTTTTTTCCTTGATAAAGTGTTTGGTAACACTCTAGTTTAATTGATGACTTTATTTTAATAGTCTTTGATTCAAGAGAAATACAGACAATCTACACAAAAGTTGAAAATTCATGAGTTACATTTCAAAGATAAGTATGATATACTTATTTGAAATTTTTTTAACATAATTTACTTAATTGAAAATTATTTATTTCAGTCATTTTGGGCTATGGTTGTTGACATAGTGAGTATATTGAATGTTGATATTCTTTTTTTGGCTTTTTCTGAGGATATTAAAATATCACCATTTCTAATAAAACATTTTGAAAATCACTCACTCTCTGGAGTGAAGTGTATTATTTCATATCAACAGACAACTAACTGATACACAAAAATATTAAAAATGACTCTCTCCTCTTTATATTATTATTATGTGTATTAAATGATATTACTCCTAACACTATTTGGAACTATCATATGAATGATCAAATTGAACAAAAGTCATTTTTATGGATGGAATTAAAGAGTTTTTTGAAATTGTTTACCTCCCACAATCACAAAAATTAAAATTATAATGTTTAGGTTCATCCGTTCATCCCGATAAGTTAGGCTGGATTTATAGATTAAGTAACATGAATGCAATGCAAACTACGCCACTTTCCATAACTTTCTTCAAGAGATATAGCCAAGTACAATCTATAATTTTCGTTAGATTGTGAAAGGTGAAAAATTCGATAAAAACAATGTAGTATTTTATTGCTGGTTTTGTCAGATTTTTCAGTTCAACTATAATTATTACATCAGTACAATACAAAATGAATTTTTGTCACTTTCAAGTTGATCTTCCCCTTCTGTATAATTCATTCTGTTACTTTGTGTAAGCCAGTAGTATAACATCTTCAATAAACATTTCTTATATAACTCTGTCAATGCTTACCAGTTGTTGTACTAGCAGGTTTGAATTTTGAAGCCTCTTCACTCCATAGGTCCATCAAGTCCTGTGCCGTCTGTTTCAAATTACTGTCCATATCATCTAAGTCTCCGCCTCGCTTCAATATTTCAAGTTGCTTTCTGAGAATGAAATAATACGATACAATACAATTGCAGTAGTACACAAACAATATAAATCTTACAAGTCCTCTTCATGCCGAAGTTCGATATTCGACTTCAGACTTTTCTCAAGTTCAACTTCTGATAAGAGTTGTTTGTATTCTCTTTCAATTTCATTCATAGCCGGTGTAATGACTGGCTTTCGTTCCAGGCAAACAGCAGTGAGCAAATCCCATTTTTCAGCGGTGGCAAAGGTGGTGGAACTTTGTGCTGGAAAATACATAATTGAATTATGCACCGCTGAGCAATATTTCTCACCTCTGAATAAATCACGAAAGGCTATCGAAATATTCAAAATCCGCGAATTTCTGATCATTTCTCTTCAGTAACTATTTAAATTTTGAATTGGTTTGAATTCGGAATCTCAACTTTTAAGTTAGATCTGTCGTATTAGGTTAGGTTTGATAATTTGACAAGTATCCACAGAACTCGAAAATTTATATCGAGTTCTTAAATTCACGGACGTACGGTACTGCAAATAAAGTGTCAGAAACGAACATATGAAGTAGCGCATTTTTTGTTTGAAACACAAACTGACTAAATAATTAGGTTCGTTTGAGTGAACTTCCTTAACTGGAATCGAGATTCATGGTGATGTGTATGTTGAACTGCATATGAAATAAATAAATATATTGAGACATTTCGCAAAACGGGATCTCTCAACTCTATCTTATGAACATCGAAAATCCAATAACCCTTCAGTTGCATTTGATCACTCCTGTCCACTAGCCACGAGTATATGACTTGAAATAACCAAACACTATGAATATTTCTAATTAATCATAGGTACTTTATTTTCGATACTGAATTCAAAATCCAATATAACTTATAGAACCTCTATGATCTGCGGAATATAAACATGTACTTCATAATGAAACGGCTTAAGATATTTTGTTGTTTGACAAGTGAAACTTTCGTAAAGAAAGACACTACAACTTTAGTTAGCGATACTGAAATATTTATGACCACAGAAATAAAATCCACATTAGAACTTAGTTCCATCTAGGGAAGAAAAGTTAAACATTCATAACAAAGTATTTAAGAATTTCCTTAGAGGTCGTAAGTAGTAGTTTACAGATCACCTCAAAGATGTCTCAGTATGTTAGAATTTCAAGGAGTATTGACCAAAAAAATTCAATATGTAGGTATTCAAGAACAAAATGCACTTCAATACCTTTCAATCCAATATCTCAATAGCGGAACAAAGTAAATGTCTTGAATAAAAATAATTATTGAATCATTCATTAAAAACTTGACGAGTGCCTTTCGCCGTGCGTGGTTTAAAAATGGATGCTTATTTATAAATGTGAGTCACCCGTTTATTGTTTTTTCGTGAAAGCGGTTACTAATAATGAATGAAAAGGTGAAGTTTTCTGAAATGGACAAGTAATAGAAAGCGTAAGTGATTTGCAAGATTTCTTAAATACGTTTTGTCTCAACTACATTGATTTGACATATTTTCTGTGCAGATGAATTTGAATTTTCCCTCCTTAATTTCTCGAGATAGTAGAACACAGAATAGTAAGGTCTTATCCTGTCGTAGTGACGTTTTAGTGACGTTTTTAAGAATAACATTGGGAAAATTGTCAATTTTGACAAGCATTTTAACAAATAATGTATTAAATAACACTTGTGAGATTTTCTCTGACGAAACTATTCTGTAGTGAAATACGTGATACGGTTTTGTAAACTTTTCAGTGAGAGGCTCATAATTAAGTTCTCATGGATTTTCATCAAATTCCAAAAATAATGTCTGATATCGAGTTTCCTCACTACTACAATCTCAAAATTCCGTCGATTAAGATTAAATGAAAACTAGCAACTAAAAGAGAAATGAAAAATCATAGAAACTACAGAAATGAATCTTTTTGAATTGAAATCGTAGTAAAAAACGCAGCCATTGGGCTCTGAACGAATCTCGTCGGCGGCCAATGTCGATGTCGAAACTCTGCAACCAACCGCCTTGGGGAGCCTCGTTTATCTTTGATATTCGAGAATTGATTTCTGTATCAATCCCATAGATGGTGCCTTCGTTTAGGGAGATGTTATCGTCCTTACTTACTGATTCTTGGCCGTTGAGTTAGCAATGATTTTATATTTTAGCCTAGTACGACTGTTCAGCCTAGCATCAGCGGGTCAAAACAGCGATGTCAAGTTCCTGAAAAGTAGTTCAGAAAAATGAATAAGGAAAATTTTTTGGAAGATATTTAAAAAAAAACTTTATGACTGTTTCCTCATCAAATATTGCACAAGAAATGTGGGAAATTGCCGAAGGAAGGGAGAAAATAGTTTTTTAAGATTACGTGTGACCGTTTCAATTTGAGACATTTTTCTGCTACAGCCTTATTGATTATAGTTTTTCAATTCAGTGGTAATGAGAATAAATAAAACTTTATTTTTGTTTTCCGCAGCAGTAAAAGGTTTTTAATAATAGTGTTGATATTAATCATTTCAGTAATGTATTCTATATATGACCTATCCCTATCATATAGAATATTTCCAGAAGTTGTAGTTGAATGACACTAAGAATGACTCAAAATCATGAATGAATCAAAATCACCGTCATATAACCAATGAACGTGGTTATAGATAGGTACCTCTTTATCTCACTGCGACTTTCACTGCAAGGCAATAACTTGAAAGTCGGAGCCCTCAAAGGACAATTCGTATTGCTATATTGGTTCTTTCTATAGCCCTCATTTTTCACACTTATTCGATATATCCTTTAATGTAAGTAACTATATCTGTTTTGTACAAATCAAATAATCCTTGGAATTGCACATGCCAAAACAAGTGGGCTTTGATGGAGTGTTTTGATGTTAAAGTTGATATGTTTTAATTGTCATTGGAAACGAAGAAGTATTTCTTGTGATGATCATAAATAATGAATGGATCAATATAACATACGCTGTCTGTCCAATAAATAAGGCGAATTCTCATTTTCCTCAAATTTTTTTTATTTATTCATCAATTTCTATTCTGCTGCCTTCAAAATAGTTCCCTTGTGTATTGCTCTTCAGCTTCCTAAAATAACGTTTCCTGCAAGTGGCTGTCGATGGATATCTCTCGTATATATACTTTCACCATCAACGCTGGTGTTCCCCAGGGATCCATATTGTCTCCAACCCTCTTACAGACTTACTGGAAAAAGCCAAGCACATCTTGGTTCAATTCAATGCCACAAAAATCCAGGCATCAGTGTTCTCCAAGAAGATAAATATCTCTGAACCGGATATAATAATGTCAGGTCAGACAATTCCGCTTTCTGCTTCGATAACTTTGTTGGGGGGTTAAAATGGACACCAATATGTCTTTGCACAATCATGTCACTGGAAATGCAAAGGCTGCTTCTCAAAAGCTTCTGAACCAGAAAACTGTACACACCTCAGCAACTTTTGATGCATTTATAAAGCTCAGATCAGACCTTTTTTGGAGTATTTTTCTCATATATGGAGCTCCGCCCTCAATCATACCCTGAAGATGCTGGAGTCCATCCAGAAAAGAGCCATACGCCTGATTAGAGACAAAAACATCACTTGCAACCTTGTTGTCTGGAACATCGAAGAAAGGTTAGAGATTTATCTCTCTTCTATAGATACTTTCACAGGAAGTGTTCAAGTGACTTGGCACATTTGATTCCACCAAGACCGGTACATATCAGAAATACGTGACGGACTGTGGCTGCTCATCCTCATGAGGTTCAATTCAGTACACCTCGAACTTCACTGTTGATAACCGTGAATATATATAGAAAAAGGCAGGTGGCAGGGTCGGGGTTAGCGGAACATATTCTGAAATCATCTGGTGATCACGCCATAGAATGGAATCATCACCAAAGAAACTCATGGAAAAATTAGAAAACTCAAAGAATCCGCATATATTCTTCGAGCAGGTAACAAGTGTATTTCGAATGGATCGAAATGGATCGTATCTGGTTACGTCATTACTAAGAAGAGAGGTTAAACGGAAATATGAAGCTTAACTGAACTGAATTATCAAAAAACATCCAGTATGTGTGTTAATGTAGACTGTCGCGTATGACATCTGGACCTTCATTCCATTCTTTTGACTTGTGTCAAAATTAATTAGAAATATCATAGTTTAAGGCGAGATTTTCATAGTAAAAACTGGTTTTGAAAACGTTTTCCGAAAGCTAAGTATCATATTTGATTTGTTCAATTGTTTTTTTCAATTTGTAGGCAAAATTAATGAATACAAGACTAATTGGACTTCCCAGTAGTTTATATTACCCAATATCTTTTTGCAGTGAACTTTTCAGTTTGCCCTTTACTACATTTTCATTGATTTATTTTTCATTTGTTCAGACTGTGGAAGGTTATAAACCGCAAAAAACAGTATAGAATAGAAAATTTAAACTTCCTATGTTTTTATATCATTTGTATTTGTAATTCACGTTACAACTTATTGATTTTTGAACAAACCAGAAACATAAGTACTTTTTCTTATTTTAACACCTCTTATTTTAACTCACTCAGGTTAATCTTCCTCTTGAAGATGATCACTTAGTGATCGAAACACGTGTCGAGGTATTAAAAAAACGGTTTCGTGTTGGAAAAAAACTCCAGTAATATTCAGAAACATAAGGTATAATATTAGTTGTCAGATACATGTATTGTTCGGGTTGTGATGATTGTGTAATGTCTATATGTTCATAAAACATATAAACATTAGGAATCACACGTTAAAAGTTAAGACCTCGTTAGTCCTTAGCTCGCACAAGTTTCTCAACTTCTGAGAGTTGTCGTTCGTATGGGGGCGACAGCTGATTAACGGTAAAACAGATTTTAAACAGATTTTTTATATACAGGGCTATTCAAATTCGTTTCTGTACATGGGGATCTCGTAAACGATAAGAAATAGAGTGTCGGTTTAATTGTGGCAAAGTTGCGTATTTTAGAGACCTATTCAATGATGTAAAAAAATAGGATATAGCTTTTTTGGTTCTGGAGATATACAAGAAAAACCAAAAAATCCCAAATTATTTTTTGCCTATATCTTCTTTATTCGTAGACATATTGAAAATCTGTCAACATTTTGCTATTGGCACCTGATGTGGGCTATCAGAATATGTCCATGAATCTTTCATATAGGGTATCATCTGACTTGGGCCACTCCCATCTTTGAATTTTTAAATACGGACCTGTATTTTTGTTGTAGTTTTTGGATCGTAAACGTTCACTTCATACTGAGAAATTGAATTTTATTTTATATTTCGGGATGTTTCGGTGATATTTGATTATAATTGGGTGAATTATTCCCGTTTAAATTACGGCCCTGAAAATTGGTTGACAATAGCAACTTTCACGTCTCCCTATGTACCATAGAGTTAAAGGAGAGTTTTTTTTTCATTTTTAGGTACCTATTCATATTTCCATTGCTCTGAGCGTTTTCTACAATGAA